TTTTTGAGTGCAGCACAGTTAGTGCAGTTGACAAAGTTTCATAGTTTTAACAAAAAATTAAATTTCAATTGTAAAGGAAAGAGGAACTTTTATGAAGTTATTTGTGAGATCAAACTTCTCTATACTAGGCAGAGGATCTGTGTGTGTAAACAATAGCTCACATCAAAAGTGAATATATAAATCCCCACACCTTACACACAGTCATAGAAACATACAGATCTAATATGGTTATGTTCATCAGTGTAGTTTTGCATTATAACTGAAATGTGATTGAGTTGTGTGATGGCAATTGTAAATGCACAGTCACAGTCTTTTAGGTTAAATTTGTGAGTTTTCTTTTCAAAATACCTTAATATTGATTCTTCCTTCACCTTAGTGTAAACCAGGAGTGATCTCAGTGAAGTCAATGGAATTATACCGGTGCATTCCTTAAAAGTCATTTAATCTGACTTTCTGTAACTTATTAGATTTCCTTGTAAGTAAGAGGAAACTAACTTATTAGGTTTCTCTTTTAAGAAAGAGGAAAATCTGCCTTACAAAATGCAATGTGTGTTATGCCATCACATGCTTCTATTTTCTTGCTTATACAGCTGATACCGGGCCTATTTTTAAAACTGTCATCCATCCCAAGGGAAAGGAAAATGTTTGCTTGTCAACAGACACAACATATGCTACAAACACTGTCTGTACATTATAAAGCCAGAAAATACATAAGGTTATTCTTTTTTTTTTTTAGACCTGATAGGTCACACTTTTCCCTCACTACTAGTTTGGATTAGGCTGTTAACCTACGCTTTGTTAACACTCTGTCTAAAAACCACACTCTGTTAGCATGCAGCCAGTTGGCCAGGAGAGCAGATGTAGCCAAAAATGTTGGCTACATCAGCCAAGCAAAATCTGTGGTCAAGAGGTCTCTCTCTCTGCTGTGCCACACAGCAACAGTGACATGCCAAATGGCAACAGCATCTGCAGCAGAGCTTGTTAATTCTTTTTGGAATGGGCAAATGTTTTTATAAGCCAAGTAATGCCAAGCCAAACCAAATACTCCTTGGCTGAATAAATCCAAATTTGGCATCCACTTGGGGGAACTAATGGTTCTGCAGTGTTCATCTCTCCCACACTCCCCCACCCTGTTTTTTTTTTTTTTTTACTGGAACTGTTAGGTTACTTAAAAAGAAAAATAAATTATGGGTATACGTGGTGCAAATTCTCCCCTTTAATATCTACACTTGAAAGCAAATTAGTTTTTAATATGGACAAGGTTTTTTTTGTCCTTGACTCTGATATATCAAGGTATTGCTCTTCCAGACTAAAGTTGATATTGGTTTCAAGGGCTAGGAACAGATGTTATATTTATCCCTGGGTAAGTTGTGCCTCTGTTTATCCCAGAAAAATATCCCAGTATTGGTAAATCCACACATCACCCTTCTAATCAGGGTTTATTGAGCAGCTGAATGCCATGCTGCTTTTATGCCTTTGATTCAATTATGCTATCCTGGGATAACTGTACGGATGTACTTTGCTATATCCTGGGATAAGCTTTGTAACTGTTACTATCTTTTGTCTGGGAAACATTTTTAGGATTTATGCCAGGATAGTGGACATAGTTTTAAGGATTACATCAATTTTATCCTGGGTTCTGTTCGCAGCTAGGGTGTACAAACCCCCCTCCCCACTGAACAAACTATTCTTGATGCCTCCTCTTCTTGCTTCTGTAGGGGCTTTATGAAGAGAAGCTGCACAGATATTAGCTTAGAATAGAGGCACCATTTATAGTTCTCAAGCCTTCCTTTTTTAAAAAATGTGTTTGTAAATATTGTACATTATGCTTTATAGTAGATTTGTATTAAATAATACAAATATATATAATTAATCCATGATTAAATGTCTATATAGCATAACAACCCCTTTCATTAACACAAAAAGGAAGATGACTGAGGAAGTATACACAAAGAAAATATTCCTTGAAACTAAGTTAATTGATTTAAAATCTGCATCATCTTTTTTATTGTTACACTGTCTGTTAGTAAACATCACAATTTTCCCCTTATGCAAAGTCTTAATTGTATGAAGTGTTGAGCACCTCCAGCAAGTTGAAATCAGTGGAAGATGAGGGCATGAAACTGATTCCTTCATTAGGAATGAGTTTCAGATGTTTGCAAAACCTATTAATGCTATTATCAATGATACCCATCTCTGCATATGTGTTGTTTAGCTGGCTGTGCACTGTGAGGTACATACATATCAGGCACTACACAAAAAAGTCAAACACGCAGCTTTTGGTAACCAGAGAAGTCCTAGAGACTTTTGGCCTGATCCATTTGCCTCTGAAGTCAATGGCAGGAGGATTACTATTCTTTCCAAACCGACAGGAATGTTTACTTCTTTCAATAGTGCCATGTAGATCCCACTGTAGGCATCTCTGCAGAACAAGCCAAATCTTTCCTGGACTTCATGCCCATGGCTTCAGTGGATACTGCAAAAAGGATTTGGCCCTTACTATAGTTATAAATATCCAATGACCTTCCTTGCTCCTGTAAAATAAATGCTAATAAATAATTTGTCTGTGCATAGCACATATGCAGGCTTTCCAGCAGAAAAGGCAAAACTTCCTAAAGACTTCATCCTAGTGACCAGTTCAAAGTGACTGTTTGAAAGCATGGGGAACAAATGCATATTTTAAAAATATGCATTATCTTTCTGCAGTTTGTAGAAGCAAAATTTTGTGACCAAAGTTATTAGCTTAAAAAAAAAAAAATCTGTAGGTTAAACTATATTGATTGAAATATTAATCTACTGTAGCTGATTTGTTAGAATTGATTTAATGTAGTACAACAATTTGCGATTTATGTTATGGTATGTCTTTCATTCAGCGTATCACATAATGCTCTAAAACTGCCATAGCTAATGAACAAATGAATCTCTAAATCAATATTGCTTTCTTGTTAGATTTAGAGCCCTGAGATTTGAAGCCTTCATGCTCTCCCCCAAAAACAAACAACATCAGCAAGCACTGATTTGATTAATACAACTAGATAATTAGAAGGAAAATATAACTAAAGATGTATAAAAGAATGTCAAGCATATTAGCATATTGTTGTATATGATAACATTTGATGGACTTTGAATGCTTGACCCTGCATTTGTAATCATATTGTTATCTGCTCACATATCACACTACAGCTAGGTGGACTTGCTATTTTAGAGACATTCATGTTCAAATATTTTCTTAGCTCCAGTCTGATGTGTTGTTAAGTAAACCAAGTAAGTTGAGTAAAGAAGACAGAGGATGCTATACATGCAAGAAAAGCAATCAGTAAAAAAAGTAAATTGAGGAGTGGGTGAGAGAGAGGTTGTGGGGGAGGGTAATGAATGTAGCTGGTAAAGAGTGGAAAGCTACCTGGGGAATCAAATGATAGGCAGGTTATAATGTGTCATAAATCCAATGTCTATATTTAGTCCATGACTTTTTGTATCCAGTAGGTTGATGAAATGAAGTTGGTAGGTTTGTCTGTGAAAGGTGTTTTGTAAATTCTCTTTGAGGATTAGAGCTGAGAGAGAGAGAGAGAGAGAGAGAGAGAGAGAGAGA